AACTGTATATATAGTTCATTATTAACATTTATTAAAGGTAGCTTTCTGCTAGTATAGTAGTTGGAAGAACCGGTATGAAGTCTTGCCTAAATAATTTTCTCCGAAAAGATAAATGTCATGGTTAGAACACAGACCCTGGTGTCTGGGTTTAACATGGCCGTTGTGCCACTTACTGGTATTTCACCTCAGGTAAGTTATTTAGCGTCTGTGTCCTAGATTCTCCTTATGGGAAAGTAGCAATAAAAATGGTACCTATTGCATAGGGCTGCTTTCTGGGTTTAATTGAATTATACATGAATATGTCTTGCATGGAGCCTAGCATATAGAAAATAACAAATTAACAGTAATCATTATTTTTGCTCCTTTTAAAGTAGAATCGCTTTGAAGTACAGTGCTAGGTATTGAAAGTACTAGTAACATAGTACAACAAAATCACCGTTGGTGCCACAAATAATTCACAAATATATTACAACAGACACAGAAACCAATAAGGTATATTATGGAAGTTTCCATTACATTTTTTAAAGCAACTGATTGGAGCGCTGCCTTTCTTTAGGAATTATCTATAACCCATAAGGAAGAGTATAGGGAAACCTTCCAGAACCTGCAAATTGAAGGATTTTTAGAATTAATTACACCCATAATAATTTATTTTGCTGTAAAAAAGGACATGAGAATCATCACTGCTCTTTGATTAAAATCCATTATAGCTGGCACCTGTCTCAAGGTGTTGCTTTTGCTTTTGTTTATTATCAAAGACCTAAAAGAAAATGAGAATAAACCTAGTATAAGTCAGAAACAAAGAATTTAAAAACTTTATAAAAGAGAAATTTTGCTCAAATTTTATGAGTTCTTTTTGCTTTTTAGAAGAGCTGATCAAGATATAAAAATACAAAGCTAATTTACTGAGTTGTTAGCCATCCACATGATGCCATCAGAATGGCATCAGTCAAATCTCTTTCAGGCAGGTGACTGGATTGGATCCTGGATGGTAATAATTGACGGGATGCCATTTTTGGGGCCTGTTCTCAGTAGCGTACAAATCAGCAGTAATTTAGTTATCTATTTGTCGTCCTCTCCTCGAATCACTGAATGTGGGAAACAGTCAATCCAGACTCTGGACCCTTGCAAATTCTCTGATATAAGGCATCTGAACTCAATGACCAATAAAAGCGTCAGCAGTCATGGCCTGTAAAACCCAACAGCAGCGATGGTGACAGCAGCAGATCACATTGGTGGGACAGTTGAGGTTCTCCAGATTGGAGATCACTGGGCTAGCAGGGCTAGCAGGAGTACAAAAGGGATTGGATTAGTGAAGCTGCAATGCCCTAGCTACCATGGAGAAATTCTGTCTTCAGTTCTAAAAAGTATCATCATCATTGCTATTGTGGTACTTTGATTTATTAGTGGTCTTATTCATAATGTTCTTGAGGTGTAGTACCCTGTTGTTCACCTATAAATGATGTATATGACATCATTTTGTGTAAATGTTCAATTGGAAAAGCTAAGAGTATACTCCACCTCTTTGTAAAAGTGACACAGGGAATCACTTTACCTTTTATTTGATTCCCAAGTACCCACATCTTTCCCTACCTGTATTGATAACTTCTTGAGTAAGTTTTAGTGACAGATAATAATACAGTATCAATAACTTGTTGATGCTGTGTGTTTATCCAAAAGCATGTTTCCCAAAGCTTCTCTTATTCAGGAGAGGCTGTATTATGCTGTGGAAACAAATAAACTAAGTAGCTTAACATATAATACTATGTTTAGTTCCTACTCAAATAATGTCTGTTGTGGGTCTGAATCACTTTCCAGGGCAAATGTCCCCAACACGGCAATTCAATAATCCAAGAGGTTTTAATCTCGTGGTTCCACCATTTCAAGGTAAATTCTCCTCCTTTGCTACAGAAAGGACTTGAGAAAGACAAAAGGATTTCCTAAGAATATTTCACTGCTTCAGCCTAGATGTGAGACACATCACTTCTGCTTATATTTCTTTGACCAGAATTAGTCAAATGATTTTACATGGCTGCCAAGGGGCTGGGAAGTATGGTCCTCTCATAGGCCCAGAAAGGAATATTGATGATATTCGTGAGTACTGTCTCCCATAGTCTGCAAGATAATTTTAAGTGGTGGAGAGATAAACTTCCACGTTTTTTGTTTGGTTTAGTATGTATTTGAAAAATATAAGTAGCACATCAAGCCTATGGAGTAATGGTTTCTATTTTATGCATATTTAAGTTACATTTTAATTGCAGATACTATGATTATAATAAAAATGGTAAATGTGGCAAATAGATGCCTAATGTTTGGATAACACTGGCCTAAAGGAACATCAGTAAAATTTAAATTTTAGCATGTAAAATTTCAGGCAAACTAGAAACATGGGGTGGGACATAGGAATCTGCTCTTTTAACATGTATCCCACATTACTCAGCAGCACATAGTCTGGGACCATATACTGGGAAGAATTATTCTAGAGTCCACTCTCTCTTCTGTTGTTAAAATTGGAGAACCAGTGACAGAATGTACCCTGGGGGGACCTGAAATTCCTGATGAGTACTCAGTTTTTCTTTTTGTTCTCCCTCACTACTAGATTGAGATCGTTCTTCATACAATGACATAAGACTAGCAATGATGGGAGATTCAGGAATAAGGTCCTTGACATGGCAAGCAATACCTTCAGAACTGGCATTTCTCTTCTCATCTGGTTTTTCATGTTGGCTGATATTGTTCAAACTAGTACAAATCAAATATAATAATATCACCAGATATTGTTGTTAATCCCGAAGCTCTCAGCCCACTAAAGCTTTTCACTTACTGTTGATGGTAAACCAATTTTTTGTTTGTTTGTTTAGTTTTTCAATTTCCATATTTCCTAAGGTATCCAACAATCTCTCCCAAGTAGTGTGATTTTGATGTTATTGTTTGTCCATAATATTCTTGGTTCGTATGTAATTATTAATAGAAGCCTCTTTTACTCAAAAAAAATCCTTATTTGGTTGACAAATTATATGGTGACCCTGCTCCGAGGATTCTTCTCGTTTTATTTTATGTTGTGAATGACTAATTGGTTCCAAAGGCTCTTTACTCCAATACTCATGGCTAAAGTTACATGGGGAACCTGAGGCTATGGATAGATCTGGATGTTTAGTTTTCTTAACAGTCACTTTTTGGTATCATCTATATGTTTTCTATAGGATAAAGAGAAAGATAGAAGGACATAAAGAGTAATTAAAGGAAGTAAGTCATGACATTGATGACTAACAAATAAACCAAGGCACATTTTGAGAAACTCAAAGAACTCATTATTCTGGCATGTACTTCAAAATTGCCCTAACTGAGTCTGAAGGATGACATATAAAACTAAAGACAAATCTTGGCATTCATAACATTTATTCTCCCATTGACAGTTAGTGGTGCATATTTTTTGTGCTAATGAAATGTCTTACATTGCCTCAATTCCATAATAAGTTAGGACAGGCACTGTGCAATCTTGAGTAGAATTTCAGTTGTATGACGGTAGCCATGTGTTTGTAATAAAAGTTATAGGCACCACGTTGACTTTTCTCAGAATTTAACTATTAAATAATGCATATAAAAGCTGCTATCTATTTCATAGTTTACTTCACTTCTGGAAGAGGATTTCAAAGGTATAGTATATTACATTTAGAGCAACCTTTAGGTCTGTAGCTCATCAGAATGGCTTTTAAAATATGCAAGTGCTTACAGAGACCACCCCAGGTTAAAAGTCTCTAAATACTTCATGTTGCTTTACTGTTAAATAATGTTTAGAGTTTGTTATCTTTTGTAGACCTTGGAAATCTAATTATTTATAATATCCAGTGACATTTACATTTTGCAAAATATACTCTGCTTGTATAAGAACATATCATGCTTTAAAAAATGGGCAAAGAATGCCTGTCTGTACATTTGCTTATATATAATGCAAAATATCAGGGTGACCTATGCTACCTTTTTGTTATAATTACATGATTTTAAAAATGTAATTCTCTGTTGATATCACTTATGATAAAAAAAATGATTCTCAAAAAGTGTCCTTAGCCATTATCATTTAAAATACAGAATAAGAAAAAGTTGTCACAGTTGAGATCATTTGTTTACCCTTTAACTCTCCACTATCAAATTAAATATCTATTCGAGTTTATTGGTATCTTAAAATAATACCATTCATTTCCATGCCAACAGCTCCAAAGTGTTTGGCTTAGTTTTTGAGATTGATTGAAAGTAGATTGTAAAGTTGACCTATTGTGTTAAGCTTATTTACACAAACATAGTGTCTTGGAAAATAAACTTTGAAAGTGCATAGCAGTTGAAGCCTGAGGTATTTCACGTCCTGAGTGTTCTAATACCTGCTTTACAGGGATCCCTTGGGTAGTGAATTTCAACTTTACCATGGTTACCTTAACTAGGAGAAAATTACTTTAACATTTAATTATTCTTAAATTTGAAGTGAAATTTATGACTTGCTTTAGGAAAAAGGATTTGCTTTTAATTTGATTTGAAGAATTTGCCTAAGCAAATAATTTGTTAGTTCTAACGAGACTATGAAATAATCACGGATGACATTTGTTTTTCAGGCTCTTGACACACACTTTCTTTAAAAGAGTTAAAAATAACATTTCTAAGATATAAGCAATACAAAAAGCCTTAATTGTGGTGAGAAAAAAAAAAGGAAACCTATATGGAAAGAGTGGGAAAATCAATTTGAGTATTGGATAGCTACACATAGATTATTTTAAAAATGAAATTGCATCTATTCAAGGATTAATCTGGGTGAGTGAGCATTTAAAAGCCCTTTCTGACACCACATCCTTGTCTGTTACATATTCTTAAATAATCAAGCTGTTATACATCATGCCCCTCCTGATTCACCCCTCTCCTCCATCAAAAGGCGGACTTCTCTCCTCTGCTGAGTAACGTGGGGTTGGTTATAACTGGGAGGGAGGATGGGAGCAGGGCACGTGGACCAGAAATACTTCCTAGAAACAGCAAGTAGGCTGCTCAACCCTGCCTGAACTTTCCTGTAAACACAGCGCACTGACAGACGGCATCCCTGCTGGGTGGATCCTGCAACTCCTAGAGGGAATGGCACTTCTTGTTTTTAATTAGCAAGGTAAAAGGTGAATTAAAACTAGCAGTTTGGCAAGTCAGTGCAAGAGGCTGACTTCTGAGAGGCTCTGGCGAGCCAGAGGAGAAGAGCTCCACGGAGAAGGCAGCAGTGCGTGTGCTCCGTATTTTTTTTTTTTTTTCTTTTTTTCTGAATGAACCGCTCGCCTAAGTGACTAAAAAATACAGCTTCTTTCTGAATCTACCGGCTTAGTTGCTGAAGAGAGCTCTAGACAGGACATGGCTCTGAAGACGCACTCTTTGGAATGTCCTCTTGCTCCCGGCTTATAAACAACTGTCCTGAGGAAAGAAAGGTTCTACATATCCAAATACAGCCTGACAAATGGCACTTTGGAACTGTGCTTTCTGATGACAACGCGTTCGATTTCTGACAAAGCCTCTCGCACGCTGCCCCTGGAGGGAAGTCCTAAGTAAAACTCAAACCCTCCTTAAAGTGAGGAGCGGAGAGGGCTTGCAGGTTGAGCGCGGCAGCATGGCATCCGCTGGGCATATTATCACCTTGCTCCTGTGGGGTTACTTACTGGAGCTTTGGACAGGAGGTCACACAGCTGATACCTCCCACCCCCGGTTACGCCTGTCACATAAAGGTAGGTTACCTTTCCAAATCCTTTTGTTTAAAAAAAAAAGTCATTTAACATGGGTTTATGGTCTTCAAATACCCTTAAAATGCACCTGAAAAATTTTATTGTAAAACAGACCTAAGATTCTAAGTAGCTCTAATTAATATGTAATACTTATCTCATCTGAAAATAGGGAAAAATCACATGCCAATTTAGAGATGTTATTTTTGTCCTGTAAATATTAGGTTTTATTAATGAGAAGTTCACTCACTAGCAAAGGGAACAGAGGAAGGTAGGAAGCAGGTTGTAAACAGCCTTGAGAGGCTGAATGCACCAAGTTAGCAGTAGCTATTTAAATACCATTTTATGCATTATGGGAAGCAACGATGTTGGAGAAGGGCTTTAGAAATAAGGGTGCAATTTTTTTTGTTTGTTTTTTGTTTGTTTCCATAATGAGGATGAGAAGAAGAGAAAATTCCTAACGTGAAAAATGATGCCCTACCCATGATAACAAAGTCATCAGCATGATTAACAACTAATATAAATTAGCTTTCTGGCTGAATTGATTATTAGAATTCTTTTTTCTGTGTGGCAAAGCAGAATAGAGAGTTTATTGACAATCCCTGTAAACTGACTTATATTATTAGTATTCATTAATATCTATTCTTTTTAATATAAATTCGTATTGCTTTGCTGAAGATCTATCAGAGAATGTTTAAATATTTCATTCTACAATTATGTCTTGTAAAGCAACATCGTACTCATAAATAAGTGATCAAAAGATAGGTTTTGCATCAGGACCAGTAAAAGCCAGTCATGAATAGGTTTGGTGATTGCTCTTGTAAACAAACAAACAACAAACAAAACCCATGCTCTAAGAAAGTGACTTTGCTGACTTAAAAGAAATTTGGAATACATTATCAGCAAAGAAGTATTCATTATCATCAACCATTGAAACAGGTAACAGATGCAATACTGATGATTACATAAGAACAATTTTTCAACTGTGTAAGCTTTTAAATTGTCCCCCGCAGTAGAAAGAACTAAAGCTTGTATTTTCTAAATGTAAGTAGAATATTTATCAGAAGGAAAAAGGGAGACCTCAATTTTATATGACACGTTTGGCCTTTTTGTCTTTTATTGGACATCATCAGTAAATGTTGACTATAGAAATTTCTCATTTTTAGAATATTTAAAATGATGGATATTTCCAGAGTTTAAATAGATTTCCTATAACACTACCCAGTAGATTATACAAATTTAAGAAACACATTGACACTAAATTTATAAAATATTCAACCTATAGTACCCAGAATTAGCACAAATCTTTTGACTTGGGAAGATGTATCATGGTATGTATCAAAATGCCTATTTCTAAGAGAGTATGGTCAAGTATATCAAGATGTAAAAATTAGATGTGATGGAATATTGACATGTAAGGCCGTCAAAAAAACCTTATTATAAATTGATTGTTTTTGTTATGTAGACAAGTGGATAAACAGACAGTTCTGGCAAGCTACAATACTGTTATGCCTAGTGTTAACCTTTTAAACCTTATTATCAGGGTTCTTAATTTTTCATAATTCAATATCAGTATGTTTTCTAAGATGCCCCATTTTAATATTTCATAACAGAGCTTATAATTTGGTCAGCGAATACCAAAACTCTCTGATACGAGTAAATGCTAGGCATAATATTGTTACCGAGCTCATCTTCACTGTCCCTCTTAATCAAAGAAATACGTGTAACTGATTTTATGAGTGTACCATGTGGTATTGGAGTAGAACTGCTAGTATCTATGTGTACACTAGACTGAAAACTCCCCCAGAATTTCACTTTGGCTTTTCTTAACCTTTTGATTTAATGGAACTGGGTGAAAATGTTCAATATTATGCTTTTATACAGAGGCAGGTATAGGGAGAGTTACCTGAAAATAGAATGTTCTTACTTGTCAATTTATTAGCAAAATCAGCTAAGACATCATACCAGAAATATAACCTGAAGCAGCAAATGCCTACTGCACCACAAGTGCCTCAGTAAAAAGAAAAACACATATATTGTCAGAGCAGGAATATTTAATCCCACCAATACAATAGAACAGTGTATTTGCCTCTCTATACTCTGGAATTCAGGGGACATCTTAGATTCAAAAACTGTGGATAAGAGATTACAGACTAATCATTTTCTGTCTTGAATGATGTCATTAATGGTAGATTTTCCATAGTAGGTGAATTAAGATAATCAAAATAAGAGATACTGGGTATACATTATATAGCTCCTCTGCACTGTTGCCCGACTGCCAGCAGGGAAATCCTGCAGGCTCCCTGGAGGTGGCCTACTAGGTTAACACAGGGATTCTTTTCATAGCAGTGGTCTGTGCTATATGGGAGAAAGGCAAGCATTTTTCTTATATCCTCTACTTTTAAGATGGCATTTGAGAACACAAGCCTACTGTCTCTTCAGAAGAGGAGGAGAAAATGTAAGTGTCAAATACAAAGCTTGAGTTAAATTATATAAAAAATATGTTCAGAAAAAAATGTCCAGACGATTGCCCTTTTTCTCTCCCCTTCATTCTCCACTATTTCTGGAAATGATATATTCTTGAATAGAGCTTAAGATTAAAGGCAGAGAGTGAGGGAGACAAAGTAGAAAGGCAGTATAAGATATGGAACACTTTCTAGCTTATTTCCCACTGCCTTCTACCCCAATGGGATTATATTGAATTCCTCCTTCTTCTAACAGAATATCCCACTCTACCTCAATATTAAGAATATATTCTAGTTTAGGACAAGCCTAGGAGATAAAATGATGAGATGATTAGTTGAGTCAATACAAAAATCCTTCAATGTATTTTTAGTTACAAAATAAATTGGATTAACAAAAATGTGGCAAAGATCAAAATGGCAAGCTGCTGTCCTGCTCTGTGAGAATTTTTAGTCAAGATTTGAGTTGAGATTGACTATATCAGGCAAATATTTATAAGTTCATGAATAGTTATGCATTATAGCTAACCTTATCCCAACTCAATAGAGTAATATTGGTGTGATTAATACAAAATTATAATATCCTGCCCCAAGGTTTTCCTTGAAAAATGACTATGATCCTCATGACAGAAATCAAGGAAAGAGAAAATGAGGGGAGAAGAGTCCTGGTGGATTTAGCCACTTCCCTGTGTTGATATCTGTTCTCTCCTTATCTTTCACCATCCTGCAAATGAGGTTACAGGGAAGGCAAAAATAACTTTCTTGATAATGGAGCTCAAAGAAGAGAAAACAAATGAGCAAAGACCCATGTCAAAGAAGAAATACCAGTGCACATGGAAAGCCCCAGAAATTCAATCAAGGGAGCTTGGCAGATGGCGTAGGTGTTTGAAGTTCCAGTGAGGAAGGGTGCAACTGCAGAAGCCAAGAAGAATGGCTGCTTAAGCAGAAAATGTTCTCCTAGGATGGCTGGTGAAGAGACTGTTAAAGAAACGCAAGGATATAGCAGAAGACCATTTCGAAAATATGTTGACATTATAAATGTAGATTTAAGCATTGAATATATATCCATACATATAGAATGTGTGATAGAAAGTGTTAATTAGTGTATCTGTATTTGGGTGTTATAACCAATTAAATGCAGATTTGTCATAGTTCAGAGAGCTCAGGATTGAAGTCAGAGGCCCCTACTCCAGCTCTATTCCTCCCACTTACAATAATGATAACTGTGCGAACCATGGTTTCCTCAGTTTGAATATTGGGATAGTAATGGTGCTTTGCCTGTATACTTCACTAGGTTTTTGAGAGGGCCAAGTGGAGCAACAATGTCTATGAATGCACTTCATAACCTAAAAATTATTTATATTATTAATGATTTTGAAGACTGATATAAATTGAGAATGTTGGAAGAAAACCTGTCTTAAAGAAAAAAACCCTTGGGAATGGCATGAGCTTGGAGTTCAACAATGCTAAGATAATGCTCATACAGAAGACAGGAGAAGTTGGTCTTAAATGCCATAAAAATATATGGTTTATCCTGATAGATAGCATTCATTCTAAATCTCATCTTCTATATCTTTGACCTCTAGCTATAATAACTTACAAAATGATTACATCATCCATGTATTTTTTTTCCCAAGATTCATTCATCACCAATATTTTTTTTGCTGTAAAAGTGTACATATATCCATTTATTACACACATTCACGCTACAACGCACATTTGGAATTCTATTTTTAAGAAAAAATTGACATAGAATTCTAGAAGAGCATAATGTTAAATAAATGTTTTGAATGATGATGCTAGAGGCCGTGGTATTTATTTTTTATCCAGGTCAACTAAAGAACAAGGCAGTGACTGAGCCAGTTTTTCCTGACCCACCTCATAGCTTTGGTTTCTCAGCCAGTAATTAGGTATTATCAATAGTGACATTAGTCACACATCCCTGTGTGTTAATAAATAAAAACTGGTCATAGGACATGATTCATAAACATAGTAGTTAAATAGGACCCCGGAGTAAACACTAACCTACAAGCCCAGAATTCCATCAGGAAGAGTAAATGAGAATTAAGTGCTGAATTTATTTAGAAACAGATTATATTAAAAAAAATCACCGAGTAAGATGTGAGGAATTACAATATGTTTTATTGAGTTTGTTTAACACAAAATATGCTTTCTGTAGAGGAAGTCTATGTAAGAATTCCAGATAGTGTTATTCTTTGTATTAAATGTTTTTATGTTTGCTACAGACAAAAATTGTCCGTGCGTCACGTAAGTGCATCTGGATATACAAAAGTCCCTGAATGGTTCTATGAATTATTTAGTTCTTATCTGGATGTTGCATAGCACAGTGGGAAAACAGTTATCCTTTAGTATAGAAATAGGGTGGGGGGAGGTCAGGGTTAGAAAAAGCAACAAATGGAATTTATAAATGAACTGGGCCAATTTTGGACTAGAAAATTTAGTCATGAAAAACCAGTTTTTAAAAGTTTTATGAGGGCTGTATTCTATACATATTATCAATATCGGTTCTTGAGTAATAAGTAT